AGCTCCTATTTTCCTCAAGTCGCTCTCTGTGAGGCTCCCGGATGGGATGTCCCGGTGAAGCTTTAAACTTGTGTGCGAAATTCTCAGAGTTCCTATTTTTGTCCGTGTCTTCTTTATCCTCAGTATCCGAAATTTAGACCTCCAAAGTGGCGTGTGTTGCATTAAATAGAAGGAAATATTTAAAGGAAAAGCCAGTCTTCTAACATGGCAAAGTTGTCACGTCCCTCGCTCATGGACGTGCGTCACATCAGGATTCATCTGCCATTCATCGGCAACTGAGTTGTTCGCTTCACTGACTATGACGGCTTACAATCAAGTCTTCAGCCATAGTGTCGTCAACTGGTGAAATACTTTGCTCATAAATTGTGCTTCTTAATTGCTCATGTACTACATTGATCGATAGTTCACGAAGCAGCCACGGCGTTCACAACCTGACGCTCACAGTCATCTTTTAGTGTGAACCTACCGTGAACGGCGTGTCGGTTTGTATGCAACGTGAGCATTTCTCTGAGTTTCCCAGCGCCAACATCATCTAACCGACTTAAACTCGAACAATAAAAAAATTATAGAGTGAATTCTATAATCGAATCACTTCGAACAACGCAAATAGCCTTCTTCAGGTTCGCAACGCCTTGTGGGTTTTTCAGGGGGAGCGGAGACGAGGTACAAAAAGTATCCGTGTAAGGGTTCGTGCAAGAGAAAATCATATGAAACCATTTGTGAGAACATTGTTTCTCGGTACCAGACCCTCGTGTCTTCCCTCCCCCGGGAGACCACTTTTCGACACCGACGACCGAAAGCCGAATTTATGACTGGGCCGCACAGGCAGCCCAGTAATAAAACTTCAAACTTCTACTTCTAACTTCAAAAACTTAAAAAGTGCATAATTTACGTATTTTGATTATAATGTACTCCTCATCTTTAACTCTGGAAGTATCCCTCAAAGGCGTGGTTCTATGAATAGTTAAGTGCACTATACTGTACTTTATCACTCTTACTAATTTCGGACCCGTGCTTTAACTTTAAGACTGTGTTTTTACTGTTTTAAAGATAATTAATTCCATGGCCATAAAACTGGAAGTATTCAGTTTTGGCGTGACGTCCTATCCAGAGATGCATAGGATTATTATCTTCTTTTTCTCGAATACATCTTTCAATTCCTCATAAATAAAGCTCTACCAACTCGAAACAGAACAGCGTCCACCGCCAGAATTTCATGGGCCAAAAATCTTAAATATAATTAATTTAATGCATATGTTTAACGTTAGTTGTCGTAGCGCAATAGATACTCGTTGCCCTAACACGCCAAAGGTCTGGGGTTGAACTCCCGCTAGCCTGAGAAAACAGCCGAAAATTCGCGACGCCACCACTGATTTCCAGGCGAAATGACGTCTGAGGAACGAGCGCTGAAATTCCATACTGATGACGTGTCACTACCCAGATCTGGGTAGTGACACGTCATCAGTATGGAATTTATGCGCTCGTTTCTTCAGACGTCATTTGGCGTGGAAACCAGTGGTAGCGCCGCCAAACGTCGGCTGTTTTCTCAGGCTAGACTCCCGCCGGAGGAAACTGTTTTTCTTTTTTCCTTGATCGTTTTGTTTTGTTTTATTTTTTAAAAAAAAAAAGACAAATTACCACTTTTTGGCAGACTTAAATTGCAAGTTAATTTTCAGCCTTCATTTCTAAAATAATTACTTTTAATAATAACTAATTATTAATCCACAAGTTAGCAATAGGCACCCTTTGATTAGACCTGGTCTCGGTCTTTAACATTCACGTATAGGTGAGTAACCCCTCCCCCTAATTACAGGTTTTTTGCATAGCATCTATAAGAATCGGATTCTATTTTAAACCGATACTAATTTTTGTTTTATTCGGTGCCTCTCAATTTCATCTCTTTTCCTTGCCCGTGCAGTGTGCTTTCCTTCTCCGACGTTGGGCGGCAGAATAGACGCTGTGACCAGACAAAAGAATGTTTGTGTGTGAGGCAAGGAGCGAGACTACTGTTTTCTGCTAGTCCGCTATCCGTTTCTCTCAGTTTTACCTCTCTAAAGCTGTTTTTATATACACAGTCGGTAGTCTGCGATTTATACCTAGACCGTGATTTATACTCAGTCCGTAGTGTCTAGTCCTCATTTTATAATTAGTCCGTGTTTTATACCCAGTCCGCAGTCTGTGTTTTATACTGACTCTTCAAAATAAACCAACCCAGCAGAACGTTTGCAAGTTACAAATTTTTAAATAGGGTTTTATAAAATGGCATTTGGTATTTTTATTTGATTTTGACTTTGGCCACATTTTTGTAAAAAATTGAATATCAATGATAAACATGACGCCATTTAAAAGGATTATTGACCACGTATACTTCATGTTTGTACTAACTAGGTCTGTTACAATTTTGGGATTTATAGTCTTCACAGTGACTTTCTTAATAATTTTGTAAAATATAACTGGACTTAACCTAAATAACTATTTACAAGCTTTACTCCTAAATACATTAAATTAAGCTCAATATTGGGCTTAAGCTATTCTTTTACTATCCTAAAAAAAAATTGTTTTAACAGTAGGGACTTCAGCATATTGGGGACACCTCCATTGCATGAATTCCCAACCAAGTAAAAAAAAGTAAAGTGTACTGCTGTCCAAACGACTTTGACAAATTACTACTATACACATACGGCGAAAATGTCTTAACTCAAAGGTCTTTATATCATTTACCTTTCTCTGTGTTCGTTTTTCGTTTTCAAAGCCATTTTTTGTATATGACTTGAAAGAACTCCTTATTTGCATCCAAACGTTTTGAATGTGGTTAATACCATCCACTGGAATTATTTAACTGTGAGTCAATGTTAATTAAAATAATCCCCAACATCCAGCTTCTGATGTCCTATTGTATCTCTCCGCCATTAGATGCTTCATCTTTAATCAATAATCAGTGAGCTGCGTTCTCCTGCACAGCCCAGTTATTTATACAGGCCATATGTACTTTGAAACCACTTCTTCTAGATAAAAAAACAACAACTTACTAACATCGTTTGTCGGTCCATAGTGCTAGTTATGTTACACAGGTCAAAATTAAAATCAGGTTACAATGTTTTAACCTAGGTTGATTCTCAATTTCGTTTGTCTCCCAGCCCTGATTATTCATCAATTAGAGAACCTAGGTCAAAACATTTTAACCTGAATTTAATTTTGATCTGTAACAGTTACAGAAGCTTTACACTACGGAACTCAAACTCGAGTAGAGAAAGTTATGTCAGCAGAGCGACAGAAATATAGCACAACACCAAAGTACTGACTCCTCAATGCCTAAAGGTGATGTTACACGGGACGATTGGCAAAGACGATTTTAAGTGTAACACGGCGTTGCAATGTTGACACAATGTTGTAAATGTCCCAACAATGTTGTAACCGTGTTGCGCTAAAAATCATCGTTGCGAATCGTCTCGTGTAACATCACCTTAAAGCCCATCGGCGTGGCCTTTCTCTTGCTCTTTGGCCTTCTCACATCTTTCGCAGTGGCACAGTCTTAACACATTTGCAATGCATCCATCTAGACACAAAGGAGAAGAAAACAAATTTTAAATATGTAACTTCTTCGAACGTGCTATTTACTCATACAGGGAAGTAAAACAGCTTTTAATTATGTGACTGCTTAGAATGTATTCATTTTCCAAGTGTAGAATAGTAATGGCCATTTAGGAGAAATGCTATGCATGGGAGAAGAAAATAGAAGCGCTTACCAGACTTGTGTGCCTAGTAACTCAGGTGAGAATTCAAATGAAACAGTTCATCACGCGTGAAATCTTTTCGGAAAAAAGCTAATTCCAAGCTATTACCTCTTTTCAGAAAAAAGGTAACATCTTCCAAGGTATTACCTTTTCTCCGCTTTAACCGAAAAGACCAAATTTTTTGTACCATTTGTGTGGATTACCAGTGCAAGGGAAAAAAATTACCATTGTTTTGTCAGAGGTACAATGTACGATTCCTTACAAAGTTCTGTATCCTTTGGTCGAGGTGGTTTCTAGGAAATCACGTGTCAATTTTTGTGTAAAGTTTACTGTACTACATACCATACATTTATTTTACCTACTGTTGTGACCGATCTAGACGGTAAATAATGAAGGATTGCAACGGATTGAACCTTAAACGATTAGCTTTATTCCCCCTTCACGACTCGTGGTCCTTAACAACTACAGTCAGGCGTTCCATGCAATACTGAGGGGGGATCTGGGTCCTAATACACTACATCCCTCCCCATTTAGATAGAAAACAATAACATTTAGCAGAAGTAGAAACGAAGTAATAAATGATCCAATAAACACGAACATGGACTAGCAACAATGTCTGTGAGATTTGTCTCTCTAGAGTTTAAGTACAATAGTCTTTGAGATAGCTTGGTGCCACTCTGTGTCTCTGGGACCTCCTAAGTGGAACTTCAGGCTCAACAACATTTGGTTCCGGTATCACCACACTCTGCTGCGGGGTCGGTTTATCCTGGTTGTGGGAACACTGCGGCAAAACGTCTACGCATGCGCCAGGTTTAGCATTTCCGGTCACTTTTTCAGTCACACTTTCCAGTCAGGTCATAGTCTCCCGCGCGCGTCCGGCTTCATTCTGTGTGCAGCTTGTGGTTCAGTTGTTCTGCTTCATGCTGCTCGTGTTTTTGACTATTTTGTAGCTATTGAAATTGCTTTTATTGATAACCAGGCACAGATCACTGAAACAATTAGTCGATTAGATTCCCTCCTGAAAAGGTAAGTTGATAATAACTTGTGTAATTTTGGATAATTTGAGCGTCAGGTAAACTGATTTTTTTTCACGAAAACAAAGTTCTTGACTGCCATTTTTCACTTAACCTGGCTGAAACCAAGCCATAAAAAGTTATCATTGCAAGCTTGTGTATTGTAGTTCTAATTTTCGGTTCTTCAATTTCTCAGTCTTAATGTCTTCAAACCGCTTCGAACTTTATTTGGAAAACGACAACACACAATCGTTTTGTAGTTTTATTTACCAGTGAGTTTTACCATGTTTTGGAATGAAGCTCTTCTGAGTTGATTGCCATGAAACATAAGCTTAATTATACTGTTGAGGTTGGCAGCAAGCTGACAACTCTATTTATTAATTTTTTCACTCTCAGAATCAGAGAGCGAAAGCTGGGTCGGTGGCTTTTAGAAGTCGAAATTTTGATGCCATGTATTTAGCAGCTGGAAGTTTCGTGTTTAAATGAGATGCAGCCGAGCCGCACAGTCTGAAATTATTGAAGTCTTCAACCAAAGAACAACCATGTAAGGAACGGAAACTCGTTTGTTTTAATTTCAACGCTTTAATCCTCGAAACCAGTACAAATCGTCACGATTTAACTCTCGTATTCTCGCTTACAATGAACCAAAACCTAACTCAAAGACATGCTGAACAAGCACATGTAAAAACTAGTCACGTGATATGTGTTTATCACGCCATATAAGGAATAACAAAATGTTCACCATAAAATTGTCAATCAAATGATTCTCACAAACCATGTAAAAGAATTAAATACGCATTTTCTTGAATGATAGTAAGTTTTAAGGCATGTTTAGTTTCCTGGCACCGAAAGCTTCGGGTATTCGTACTGCTGTCATCAAAGTCGAGGTTGTCATTAAATCCCGCCTATCTTTTGTTTTGAGTTCTTGTTTTCTCTGATAGTAAAATAATTATTGAACAGACTAAACTTTTATTTCTTGGTTCTAGTATTACTGATAATAATGACGTCTTTATTTTGGTCTCTTTCATAAGTATTGCTATAGATTCTTTTCTTAGTTATCGCCTTCTCCCCGAAATTAACTTATGCCAAACTAGTAGCATGCAAGAAAACCAGAAAAAAAAAATTCGCGCGTCTTGTCGAGCGCTAGCGACCTACGAACTTCAAACATAATTTTCAGCGTTGGTGCAACCAGATAACCATGTGGTGCAAAAGTTTGACACTAGAAAAATATATCAGCCATCGAATGAAGTGATTTTTTCCGCCCCCTTTTTTGTCTGTTTCTCCCTTTTTGCTTTTAAGCTTGGCGCGACGGCAAAGTTGTGCTTACGCAATTGGTTTATATACTAGACCGGAAATAAAAAGCTGACCGGATGTTAATTTTGTGCTCATGCGTAGTGCGTTTTGCCGCGGTGTTGGTTGTGGGGCTCTCTAGTTATCACCACTTCCGGTATACTTGGTGTATCATCATGTGTATCACCAATCTCTAGCAGTTTCTTTACATGAGATGTATTGCGTGAGTATTGGGCTCCTCCTGGAGATTGCACGATGAAGCTGTTCCCATGCTTGTTTACCACAGTGTACGGACTTGGTTCAAAAAGGGTTGTGAGCTTGTTTTTCCTCTCTTGTTGCACTAGCACTTTATCTCCAGGAAGTACCTCTGAGTACCTCGCATTTCTCTGCATGTCAGCCTACGCTTTGCTCTTACTCTTCTGTTCATTTTCCCTATCACGCACTTCTTGTTCGACATGTACATCGCTCAGCTCAGGAAGTTTGGTGCGTATTTTCCGTCCGAAGAGCAACTCGGCAGGGCTTACACCAGTCGTTGAGTGAGGTAAGCTTCTGTACGCTGCAAGATAAACATTCAGCTCTTTCTTCCAGTCCTTCTTTTCAGCATGTGCGATTTGGAGCCTTTTCAGAAGTGAACTATTTTGGCGCTCAACTTCTCCATCTGCCTGGGGCCGTTTTGCTGTTAATCTGTGGTGTCTAATTCCCTGCTGCTCCATGTACTCTGTAAACTATGTTGCTACTAACTGTGGTCCATTGTCAGATGTCAGGCTCTCAGCTAGACCATGTCTTGCAAATATCTCTTCTAGACTCGAGATGACTTTAGAGGCAACTGGGGATCTCATGATGTCTATCTCGTAGTAGCGACTATAGTGGTCCACGATGAACAGAATGGACTCACCGGTGGGGAGTGGCCCGAGCAAATCAATTGCCAGATCTCTCCATGGTCCAGTCGGCAATGCTGTGCTCCTGATAGGCTCTGGTGGGCTGGGACGGCTGACTAACTGACATCCATAGCAGGTTTTGCTCTGTTTTTCAGCATCCTTTTCCATCCCGGGCCACCACACTTTACTGCGCAACTTCTGTTTGGTTCCAACGATGCCCAGATGACCTTCGTGAGTGAGGGACAACACTCTGGGTCTGAGTAGAATAATGATTCTTGTCCCGCTTAGTATCAACTGTCCAATGCTGCACAGTTCACTACTACATGGGAGGTATTTCTTGAAAGCTAGCTGATCCCACGGTTTTCCGTTTAAGCACTCCTTGACTGCACAGTTCTTCGTCGATTCCTGAGGCTTCTTCCACTTCTCATGCAGTCATAGCACAGGGGGTCGCATATATGGCTACAAATCTGACATAGTCTTCGGCTTCAGCTGAGTGACTGCTGCTGGTTTTGAGATTTCCTACTAGCCTTGAAAGGGGGTCAGCAATGTTGCTCGGTCCAGGCTCATACTTGACCTTGAATCTCTATGGCTGCTTTCGTAACACCCATCTTTCAAGGCGTGCGCAGGGTTTTGACCTTGGGCCGTAAATAACTTCCAGCGGCTTGTGATCTGCAACAAGATCAAATGGCATATAGCGATGGAACTTTTCGCACGCCCATACGAGCGCCAGCGCCTCTTTCTCTGTCGCGAATATCTTCTACGACTTGCATAGCAGATGACTCTTGGTCCATTCTTCTCCTTTTCGGTCAGTACCGCTCCCAGTCCAACTGGGCTGGCATCGGCAATCACTTGGGTTGGGGCATCCTTGTCGAAGTACCTTAAAGTCTCAGCACTAGCCAATCACTTTTTTAGCTCCTGAAACGCCTTCTTCTGTTCACCTCNTTCGTCGATTCCTGAGGCTTCTTCCACTTCTCATGCAGTCATAGCACAGGGGGTCGCATATATGGCTACAAATCTGACATAGTCTTCGGCTTCAGCTGAGTGACTGCTGCTGGTTTTGAGATTTCCTACTAGCCTTGAAAGGGGGTCAGCAATGTTGCTCGGTCCAGGCTCATACTTGACCTTGAATCTCTATGGCTGCTTTCGTAACACCCATCTTTCAAGGCGTGCGCAGGGTTTTGACCTTGGGCCGTAAATAACTTCCAGCGGCTTGTGATCTGCAACAAGATCAAATGGCATATAGCGATGGAACTTTTCGCACGCCCATACGAGCGCCAGCGCCTCTTTCTCTGTCGCGAATATCTTCTACGACTTGCATAGCAGATGACTCTTGGTCCATTCTTCTCCTTTTCGGTCAGTACCGCTCCCAGTCCAACTGGGCTGGCATCGGCAATCACTTGGGTTGGGGCATCCTTGTCGAAGTACCTTAAAGTCTCAGCACTAGCCAATCACTTTTTTAGCTCCTGAAACGCCTTCTTCTGTTCACCTCCAAACACGAAGGGAGTTCCTGACTTTGTCAGCGACGTAACGGCTCAGAGACCGTTGCCAGGTCGGGTATGAAGCGCCCACAGTAGTTTACCAGCCCAAGAAAACTTCGGGTTTCTGATACCGTCCGAGGTTCTCGCGCCTTTTTCACAGCTTTAACTTTTTCTTCTGTACAGCTGATCCCGTTCCCGGACAGTACCATGCCAAAGAATGTGAGCTTATCCATGCTAAACTGGCACTTTTCCGCATTGAGGGTCAGTCCACGTTCCTCTAATCTCATGATGACTTTCTCCAACCGCAAATCGTGCTCTTTCTGGTCTTTACCATGTACTATGATGTCATCTGAAATGTTCTCTTGCCCTTCTATACCCGCAAGTGCAATCTGGATCTCGTACTGATACTGTTCGGAAGCAGAGTTAACACCAAACAATAGTCTGTTGTATCTGAACAGACCGCAGTGGGTAGCAAACGTTATAATGTCTCTGGATTCTGGGAAAAGTTCAAGCCGGTAGTATCCCCACTTAAGGTCAAGTGTGGAGAATACCTTGCTGCCACTTATGCTCTGAGTAATCTCATCAACAGTAGGGATCGGGTGTCTGGCTCTCCGTATTGCCTCGTTAGCCCTTCGCATGTCAATGCAAAGACTGATGTCACCCCCAGACTTTGGGACAACAACAACTGGGTTAAAATGGTGTCGGCCCTTGCGCAGGTTCAGTGATGTCTAGTTCAATGAGTTCTTTAATCTTTTCTTCCAACTCTAATCTCTTGCTGAACGGAGTCCTCCGCATCGGCTGTGCTTCCGGCTTCACATTGGGGTCGATGTGGAGTTGTACTGCTCGCTCTTTCAACTTTCCAACGCCGCTGAAAACATGTGGGTACTTCTGTTGCAGGGACTCTTTGGGTCTGCGCTTACTGCAGCGACGTCTATCCCTATCCTCAGTACGCCTAGACTAGTTGCAGCGTCTTCCCTAGAAGGGAGTCTTCTTCACCATTGATCACACAAAACTTACCACTAACAGTGTTGCTTCCTGCAGAGACTTAACAGGAGAATGTTCCTATCACATCCAATGGAATGGTGTCTGAGATGCATAGGCATAGAGTTTGCTACACGAGCGAGCTGATTCACACTTCACTTTGTTTTTCTTCAACCACTCCCATGTTTGCTTGTCAATGATGTTAGTGTTTGCTCCAGAAACTATGATCATGTTCAGCTTAGAAACTCCAACGGTTACTTCAATTTTCTCCTCATTCCTGCCTCCTGCCGTGGATGCATATACTGGTTCCTCTTCGTCGTCGTCGCAACCAACCATATTTGCAGCACCTCCCTCGCGGTTCCTGTGGCCTTTGCTTTGCTTTTGCCCTGCTTCACCTTTCTGCTTTGTCTTGCACTGCTCTTGAAAATGTCCTTCCAGCCCACATCCATGGCAGAAATGACCTCTTGCTGGACAGTTGGAATCTCGACCGAAATGTCGGATTCTACCACATCGGTAACAAGTTTTCTCACGGCCGGTTTTGGTACCTCGTGACTGATTTATCCTTTCATGGCCACCGTTATTCCCTCTATGCGGTTTACACTAGCTGAACTCTCTCCCTTTTCTTCTATGGTCATTGTAGCAACCTGTGTGTCAACGTTTTCGCAGTTCTCCGCTATTTCAAGCGCTCTAGCTTAAGTGGGGCCTTAACGTTCTTCCCCGAGTTTTCGCTTTATGCACGTGCTGGTGCACTTGCAGAGGATTTCACCACGAATTTGGTTATCTGTGTCTCCGCCATAGTCACAATCTTTCGATGCTCGTCTGAGTCTGGTTGCAAATTGTCGGATTGTTTCCCCTGGTGCTTGAATTAGCTGTCTGAAACAGTGTTTATCATACGTAGTGTCAACTTTGGGAACGAAGTATACGTTTAGTGCATCGACCGCTTTCTGGTAATCCTTCACATTCCCCGTGTTCGGGAGGCTAGGGAAGATATCTTGAACATCGGGTCCCGCGAGATGGAGCATTAAGGCACGTCTCCTCTGCCTGTTGTTCACGTTATCTTCATTTAGAATTAAGCCTTTGCGGTCTGCAAGTAGTTCGAACGCTGTCAGCCACCGCTTCCATCGCAAACCAAGCGTGTTTTGGTTTCGCTCATTATCGTCCATGTTTCTCGCGAACTTTTCGTCTCGCTGACTTCTTGGGGTCTTTTTTTACCCTCGTCGCCAATGTTGTGACCGATCTAGTCGGTAAATAACGAAGGATTGCAACGGATTGAACCTTAAACGATTAGCCTTATTCCGCCTTCACGACTCGTGGTCCTTAACAACTACAGTCATGCGTTCCATGCACTACTGAGGGGGAATCTGGGTCCTAATACACTACACCTACTATTCACAATCATTACTTTTTAGCACGACTTTTTTATATTCAGAACACTCTTTAAGGTTCTGAATCGCTTTTACTCACCTTGAAGATAGTCATCCAGGACCTCAAGGGCATCATCCCTGTCAATCAAATGTATTTTCAAAATCAGTTCCTGTAATGTCGAGTTTGGATGTGATCCCCTAAGGTGCTGAATCAGCGCTTCTGTGGGGCAGACGATTTCTTCTTGTGACGCTGAAAAGTCATCCAGAATCTCCTTTTTAAAGTTGAATCGTCTCCCAAGATGACTCCAGTTCTTCACTCTGTTTGTGCGCTGCTTCTGGTTCAAGAGTTCACATACGTTCTCCATCACGTCCAAGTCTTCCATTAAGTCCTTCAGCAAGGAATATTCTGTAACAACAACAAAAATACTTAGTTTGTATTGTGTTCTCCTAGCTACAATAATATAATAATAATAATAATAATAATAATAATAAATAATATAATAATAATAATTTTATTCAACTTTTAAAATATGTACATAATTTACAGAAATATTTGAAGTAAGAATTAAGCACTATACAACATTAAGAATTATATAAATCATAAAAATACAGTCACTGTGTCAATAACGATTTCCCAAATACATTCCTTGCGGCTCAGATGCGATCAATAACTCTTGTAGGCAGTCCAGTGTTTTACATTGAGTAATTACAAAAGAGAATTAACCGTCCCTGATATAATAATACTAATAATTTTATTCAACTTTAAAAAAATATGTACATAATTTACAGAAATATTTGGAGTAAGAATTAAGCACTATATAACATTAAGAATGGTATAAATAATAAAAATAGCAATCACTGTGTCAATAACGATTTCACAAATACATTTCTTGCGGCTCAGATGATATATATAACCGTCCCTGATATTAAAATAATAATAATAATAATAATTATTATTATTATATATTAAAATAATAACAATAACAATAATAATTAAAATTAAAATAATAATAATAATAATATTATTATTATTCAATTATTACTACTATTTAATATTCTTATCGTTGTTGGTTCATGTTGAAATCGTGGCAGATTTTAAAGAGGAATAAGTGAAGATGTTAAATATTGGTATTGATTGCTAATAGTAATAGTAATAATAATTATATAGGTAATAGCATGATTTGTAGTGATATTTGGCATAAATACCACAAGTGATATTTCGAAATTGTTATCTGTAATTTCACGAGCCGTTAGGCGAGTGAAATTTGAGACAATTTTGAAATATTATCACAAGTGGTATTTATGCCAAATATCTCGTAGAAATCATGCTATTATTTGTTTATACTACTACCGACAAAAGGTTTGTAATTTTCACATGTAGGTATTTCAAATTAAGCTGAAATACCACTGCTCTAAGCCAATCAAATTGCAGAAATTTCTTATGTAGTAGTATAAGTAGAGAAACATTTTCGTGGATTATATTTCAAGAGATACTGAGACATTATGATCTTTTCTTTTTTTTCTAACAGATGTTAAGGTAAAAACTTCGTTTTAATTCTTTTTTAATTGAAGCATTGTACATAGGTTTTTTTATGAGTATTGAATAAAGATTTTTTATTATTATAATAAAATTATTAAATAATAATAATAATAATTGATATTATTAAATTTCAAATATTAACATGGTAAATTCTAAAGTTTGTTTACTCAGATGTTGAAGTATTTGTACAGGTGTCCTTCCATTTTTCTTTGTGTGTTTATTACAACTTAAATATCAGGTTACTACTAACATGTTTTTTTTTTCGCATGGCCAACCCGCTTAGCGCGATTAGATTTTGCTATTTCTAGGTGGCTATGGTCTCTTTTTTTTTCGCAATTATTTCCTTTAAATTACTTTACTCCTTCTTTTGTATCAAGAGCTCAATAAAGATTATTGTTGCTGTTGTTGTCAATCGTTATGATCAGTTTTTAGCATCATCCAGTGATCATCAGTAACTTGCAATAAATATGCATTGTTGATCAAGCGTCAGGTTAAGATAGCTGGGTATAAGGTTCGTTCTTCCATCTTTCGAAACTTGTTTGATCAAGGTCCATCTTGACCAAACAAGACTTAAGCTTGGTCCGCAATTTTACATGGTTAAAACAAAAAAAAAATCTGTTCTTATCGGACAATGAGTGAAATCCCGAGCGCGCAAGATAGGCTCTTACATGCCTGTGTAGCCAATCACTAGACATGATTAGCTCAGCCAGGGTAAAGTAAATCAGAACACAGAATTTTGTCTTATTGGGTTAAATTTAAATATTATGTTGAACCTACCCTTTGTGCATTCCCTGATGACAGCTATTACATCATGTCTTTTTATTGCATCTAAATGACTTATCAAATCCATGACGGTTGTTCGAGGATACTTGATTTTCACAAGTTCAAACAACCTCTCTGCTGCGGGACAGTCAGTATTGCAAGTTTCAAACGTTTTAAAGTCTTTCCGCGGTATTTCCAGTGATGCGGCCAGATCTGACCAGTTTTTTAGACCTTTCTTCTGCATGTCCAGTAAGAAGGCTATCTCTCCAATGATGTCTGGATCACTGTCAAACAAACTGCAGACAAGGGTACCATTATGTACCGTGTCGTAAGCTGAAAACAAACCAATAACTGCCAGAGTCAAATGAGTTCAAACACAGCATGATTATGCTGACGGCTTAGATAACGACAAAATCTGAAATATTACAGATGACTGTCATACAGACTGAAAGAGCTCTGAGGCTTGCACACTCTTTACTTCGCTGAAATGTGTAAAGCTCAAAAAGCAGAAACTATACTGATTTGCCTTGGAGAGACATCGACTTACCAGCAAAAACGTAACGATTTTTTATAAAGAATGTCAAGATGCCTGGTCTCGGCTAAATAAACAAAATATTCTTTCGTACGAGGACGTCGCGAACCAAGTAATTTGGAACAATAAATGACATAAAAATCAAGAAGGAATCTGTTTTCGAAAAGCATCTCTTGGAGGAGGACTTTTTAACTGTAGGCGATCTTTTCTTTAGAAAGGTGAATAGGGACATCTCTCCGATTGACCCTTTTATCTTAATCGGTCTTATCGGTTAACGCGGTACCTGGTGGATGAAGAAAACGTGTTAAACAAACTGCTCATTTCGCGCGTCCTAAATTGAAGAACACGGTCCACTTTAAAATTGATAACATTGTTGTCGATCTGTCTTCGATCACATCGAAATCTCTTTACAAAGCACTCAAAATGGCGAAACAAACTCCTCCATCTGCTCAAACGAGGTTTCAGGGTCAATTTCCTGATACCCAATTTGATTGGTACGAAATATATTCGCTCTCATTTAAAGTGTCGCTAGAAACAAAAATTAGAAAATTCCAATATAAGGTTCTGAACAACATTGTTTAAGGTTAAGATGATTGATTCGTCACAATTTACCTTTTACAAAAATGAGATTGAATCCCTTGAGCATCTTATTTACAGTTGCAAAAAACAAGATTAGAACCTTTGTCAGTTGTCAATAGCCGTATTTACACTAGAGGACGTCTAAGACGTCTTGGACGTCTGGTATAAATACGGGAAATAAGGCAGACGCATTAAACTTCAGACGAATAAAACGTCTGAAGTTAAGTGCGTCTGGTCGACGAACTTAACAAATGAATTAGTTGTCTCAGACGTTTAAGACGTCTAGTATAAAAAAGGGACGCACTTAACAGTCAGACGTTTAATGCATCTGGACGTCTAACACGTCTTCTAGTATAAATACGGCCAATGTTTTATTTGGTATATTCAGTGCAGCAGAAGATTTTGTCATTGTAAATCACCTTATTCTAGTGGCAAAGTTTTATATTTATCGCTTTAAATTAAATGGTGTTAAACCAGCTATGCGGGTCTTGAAAACAAAAATCGGAGCAATACACAATATAGAAGGTAGAATAGCATTTATGCGGAATAAGGTAGAATGTAATAAAATAATGGAAAAAAATCAAGTCACATTCAAATGTAATTTAAATGTTTTCTTAACTGAGTCTATCCCCTCTTTCTCTCTGTTTGTTATTGTTATACATTTATTTCTGTTGTCGAGTATATTAGTATAAGTATTGATCTAATTTTCGGATAAAGTGTAGTGTAGTGTAGTGTTAGTAGCTCTTTTTTATGTAAAGTTGTAACGTTAGTATCAGATTGTAAAGTTTACGAAATGTTGTGGAGTCGTTAATAAAATCCTTTTTGTTGACAGAAAAAACGTAACTAGGGTTAACAACTGCATCGCTTAGTGGAGGTGGGTGCCCGGGATGTCCAGGGGCTTCCACGTTTGGCACAGCCAGCCCCTGGAGAGAGTATCCTGAGATCAGGCTCAAATTTCGTTTCGTAAAGAACATTCCGGCGGGCATGGCGAAACGAAAAGAGAGCCTGATACAAACCTTCTAAGAAACGTCTGCCGCCCACTTCGCCGATTGATTGACATTTGCTGAATGAGCCAACCTAAATTACTTCCGTTACTTGTTTTTTCAGTATGCAAATTTTTCAAACGTGGGAAAACTGCAGACTTGCTGACTAAAAAAATAGCTTTCACCTTTTAATTTTTTTCAACTACAAATAAAACAGTCAGCACAATCACATTAAACTTCTTGCGAGATTAAAGGAGATCTCGAAGGTTATTTCTGTTGGCGTAGAAGGTAAAACGTTTTCGAAAAGACTTCGACACGATGTTCTAGTTTTAATATATAGATTTAGCCAGGGCTAAAAGCGAAGCTCCTATTAACTCGAATTTATAATTCAAATCAAACAATAAACTTGTATTCCACAAATCAGTTAACTTTAGAGCACATTCATGTGACTTTTGAGGGAAAGACTACGTGATTTTCGAGAAAAATAATTTGCAAACAGTTCAAGCTAAGAGTGAACTTCATCTTACATCGAGTTGATAGCCTTTATATGTACACCCAAAAAATAGCAATCATCTTCGATCACATTTAAGAGCCATAATGGCTCTTGATCACAGTAGATTAGGCCTGGAAAACACCTGCGCCGTTTTCATCATACAGACCTCGGACAGAATGCAGTGTTTCACAATTTTGCAATACAAATTGCACTCATTCAATATTCAGGACGATCAAAGCACGTGTGGGCTTTTAGCGAAATCGTCAAAAAAATTTCCAAAATCACCTATACGGCTAGCCAGTTCTCACTTTTGACAAGTCGACTGTTTAAATTAAGATTAATATAGTTATACGCTTCAACACAATAAAGAATTTATTATAAAGATCTGTAATCTTCAAAAGCGTTTGATACGCGCGGCATTTTGACTACTCTTGCAAGCGATGTTCATGAGCGACTGAAAACAAACGGCACAGCGATTAAAATTGCAAAAGAGACTACTAACAATCAATAAAGAAAGGGAAAATAATTCGGTGAAACATATACAGAGACAACAATTTTCATTCACGAAGACAAGTATTAAAGTGTCTCTGAAAATCCTTGTTTACGTTTTAAGCCGGCTTCCCGGTGTTTGCTTTTTTCAAAGATGAACTCGAGGCAAGAAAATCGCTCAAAGCTTTCTTTTACAGCCAGAATTGTAACCAAATATTCTTTGGAACGTTTTCTTTCTATTTGCGGTGAGAAAATGTCTAAAGGCTTTTTAAAGTTCCATAAGCTGATAATCAAACCTGATACTCGGTCACTCTCGGTCAGATCATTGTCTCAAATCTTACAAACGTGCATAAACCAAATAGCCGCGTAAACTACGCTCGACTTCATTAAATTAGATATAAAAAACAAACAAATACAATAATTACTCAGGCTTACCTTTTGAGATGCACTGAAAACTATCAAGTAAGGCCAGAACCGCTTCAGACTTTTCAACCGTCTTACGCATCAAGCAAGGTGAAAAACGAAAACGATGCCATCCGAATCGGATTTCCGACTTTGCCAAAGCGACGTATTTCTCAACCAAAAACCCAATAAACAAACTAGCCATGAATAACAGAAGACTCTTGATAGCAGCTGAATTTCACTTTGTACATTTAGTGGAAAAAGACAGTTAAAAACATCACAAAGTTGACACAAAACTCTGTCAGCTTCAGCTGTCAAAGTAAACAAGTTTCAAGATGCTGCATAAATTTTCCGCGTGAACTCACCTGTCAAATTTTGACCAATCAGAGTATAAAAATTGGACGTAGAGCGTGACCAACGCGTGACCTTGGTGAGAAAAGTCAAAAGCAACTAGCATGTCCTCCCTGCCTATAAAAACTGGCTTAATTCTTAGCTTCCGAGGTCAGTTTGAAATCAAAATTTTAATTGTGCGGCACATATAAAACACAACATAATTCATATGAATTGAAAAATTAAACTTGAGCCTGCAATCATTTGAAAACTAGTAACTTGTCAGCGGATAACTTTAAAAAGATACTCGACCTCGATGGGTCGACACCTGAGCCCGCGATATGATCAGGTGATACTGGTCAGCGGATACCCTGTTTTGACAGCTGTCAATTGATCACAAGATTGATGTGCAATATGTCTGCAATATCAGTCTTCCTGTGCTCCCAAACTAGAAAGTGTGATTGAACATTGGTTGCCCTGTGGTGCGGACGGACGGGCGGGCTGAGGGCGGTGTACGGTCACGTGATTACCAAATTTTCTGGGATGGGTAGATTTACTTACCCATGGTGCTCCGCAGGCGCGCTTCGCGCGCCAGAGCTCCGCTAATATTTTGGCAAAGCGCGCTCGAATTTAAAATACTGAAATTTATTTTTTTCTGTTGCCTTTATATTTCCTCTGCAATTTCCCCCTATTTTCAGTAGATAAATCTTTAACAATCTTGGAGAAGTAAATCGCGAACTTTTTTAGAGGATATATAACTTATCTCAGAACAAACCAAACAAGTTCTCAAGTGCATTTAATTTAGCCGATTTAGTCCGGTGAGTACACTTGCAATTTGCGAATTTACTAGAGAAACAACCGTCTAAAAATATATATATTTTATAAATCCAGGTTAATATTATCTGCCAATTTGGAAAGACGAAAGGACACTACTAAAAGCTCAACTGACCTATAAACAAAACGAAAAACGATATTACAAACACACTTTGTAGTTGTGTTGTTGTTTTACTCCAGGTCTGAACAGCTTGCTAAATATATTAATCGAAATTAACAAACAGCAAACAGCCAACGAGCGAGGACACCAGTTTTCCTGGTTTTAGTACTTTTTACAAAAATTCTTTGAACAGCGATGCGATATTGTTCGTCTAATACAACTTCACAGTTGGCGATTGAGGTTTCTTTCGCAGTGAGCCTCCGCTTGCGTACCCCGTTCAGAGAAGTCATTCCCAGCTAAACTTTCAAATGAAACCAGTTTTAAGATGGACAGTACTTGCACTCGTTTGTTGGTAAATCAAAAGGCACATTGTTCGCAGTCAACAACTTGCAGAGGGATTCAACTCTGCGATACACTCACATTAGTTCCGTAAATAAAGCAAATCTTGAGAAGATATGAACAACCATCTGAATTTTCTGAATTTCCATAGCACATATTAAGGCATATTTTCCTACCATAAGACCATAAAACAACAAAACAGACAGCAAGATCGATCCTGCTCTTCGCCGACGGCGGATCATTCACGAAAACAACCACGCAGGGCGGATAAAGGTTGGGCGGTGAAACGAGCGCGTCCGAGCAAAAAGGTGTGATGCAGTTGACTGGGACTCTGCTTAGAAATGTCGCTTGTTTTCGACTTCGGTCAGGGCTTGCGATGTCGTTTGTCCATTAGACACTGCCGCTGTCACTGAATTATGGCGGCTTGATCTGTTTTCTTGCACTTCTTCCTCGTTCCTTTGTGCTGGTACGCTGCCTGCGAGAGGCAAATGTTGCTATTTTTTGCGGGAGGTTTAGTTGGAGTAGACAAACATCTCTTTCAAAGGGTTTCTCTAATCACTTCCATGACTCTGCCACTGAATTATATTTTCGTTCTACTACTCGCCAATGTCGATGTTATTCCAAAACAAAAACAACTAAGTACTGTCTAAAACACGAAGGAAAATCTCATCCATGGCAAAACTAAAAGACAGCAGATCGTGTTTCATAACTAGATGACGTATATTTTATAAATGCGTGCAGCTCGTGCAAGGTGAAATTATGCTAATTTCAATTACCATCATCCTCCTTTTTAATTTTGAAAAAAAAAACATCTCATACGTCTTTCTGTTTCTTCGAAACTTCAAAATTAGTTTCCCCTCAGTTTTTACTGTTTATCTTGTTTTGTTTTAGAGAGAAAAACGGAGAAAAAACCTTACAACTAACCTCAATAAATTTTGTTTACATGCGGTTGCCGGATTTGCGACGCATTGCGCGAATCGCCATGGCGCGTTGCACTCGAGAAGCAAAGTTTGAAGCAGTACAACGCCACTATATCAAAATATATCAATCTAATATTTTGTTATGTTATATAAAATTTATCCCCCTTTAACATATGTAAAAATTGAGGTTAAGAAGTGTTAAGCTTTTGCAAACGAAACGGCGAAAGACGATTAGGTGATATTTAGTGGGAGAAGGAGGTATTCAACACTTTCAAATTAAACTCAAATTTTGGCATTATAACACCAACAAGTTTGACTTATAGGCATACAGACACAAACATATGAAACTGTTTATTGATATTGTTATGAAACGAATTTATCTATTGAACATTGTAGCCTGAAATTACAGAAAGAAAATAGGATTTCCGGTTAGCAAAAAGGAAAATTTCGCCAGCCTTCAAGCGCACCGGAAGCGCGGAAAGAGCGCTCGTGCCAGTCCTACTCCGCATCACACATTAAATGAAGAGCGGAGCGCTCGTTTCATCGCCCAACATTTATCCGCCCTGGTGCACATGAAGTAAGTATTCCCTGTCTAAGGACACTATATGACAAGAAACATGATCACGACTATAAAATAAAATACCACTGTAACATTTCTCAAAATTGTGTCTCAAAATGCACCAGATTGCATCTCAGCGCATATTCATTTCAAAAAATTTCCGGTCGGCAACCTCCTAGCTCTTCAATTCTCCGCCTACTTTTGCATATGCCCAGCAACGTGAAATGATAGCCCTGGGTATAGGTTAATACTACAGGCACAAAATAGAAGTCACGTTGTCCCCTGTCATTTTAGTTGATTTCATATTTCATTGGGAGCAAGTATTAGTACAGTTGTTTAGTGCGCGACCTTCTTTGCGCGTGGTGCCGAGTTCGATTCCTAGGTGTGATCTCAAAGCCTTGTTTCGACTTCTTTCCTTTCCGTGTAGCTTAAAGGACTTTGAAAACCTGTATTTAGGTGCGCTGACAAAAAGAGAGGGAGGGGAAGGTACAATAAATGCATTGTCGGCCTCAGGTTTTTTAGTTAGTTGATGACTATTTTGAACTATCGACGTAAAATAAGGACCCTTTAATGTTTACNCAGGAGCCCATGCCCCATGAGCTCCTGCTTTTTTAAAGAAAATGAAGACTAAAACTCCAAATTCACAAAAAACCTAATACAGCTGTTTTTTTGGCTGTATTTATGAACTTGTACACGTTGTCGTTGTTACTGGCACGTTTTTGTAAGAGTAAACTTTGAAATTAATTTTAAAAAAACCGTTTGTATAATGAGCATTATCCGAGCATTTTAGTGACTTTTTTGGGGAGACCGAGCATTTTAGTGGGAAAAATGGAGCATTGAGGTGGAGCATTTTAGTGGGGAAGCAAAAGCATAATGTACAAAAGCCTAAGCGGTAGCCGTTAGAGAGAATGTATGAGAACCGCTAAAATTGGGCCTGATCTCAGGTTAGACAGAGTTACGCCCCCATTACTGTCAGTACTATACTGAGCACAAGCTGAGCACATGGAAGTGATGCAAGCAAGGCTGACCGCGCTTGAGCCAAACGACTGACCGCTGACCACGCCCGCGATCCTTGTTGTTAATTGTGTTAACTAAATATTCTATTCATAAAAGAGATCAGGAAACACTACTCACTTTTTTCATATTTCACAAGAACATGGACGACATCTTCTCTTAAAATTGAGTGTAATCCATCTTTGATATTAGCAATGGTAATCTCAGGACGTCGGGTCTGCAAGTATTCAAACATAACCTCTGTAGGACTGTGAACCTGGCTGCAGTTAAATTTTTGATACTCTTGTTCTCCAATGTTAAAACTCTCAGCAAGATGCTTCCAGCATTTGCAGGATCCATACTTGTACTCTTTATCAAGGCATCGGGAGAGCCCCTCTAGAAGATCTAAGCAACCCAAGATGGTCTCTGCCAATGGGTCAGCTGTTCATTTCAAAAAAATACATGTTGCATCACTTAACCTCTTCTCGTAAAGTTCCCAAAGTAGCGACCATTGAATATGGTCAATATGGAATTAAAGGACTTCTGAGGCCATTGGCAATTCAAAGAAATATTCTTATTTTGACTGGCTAACGACCTACCGACATCAACCCTTTGTGCTGAGAACATGACCAGTTATTGACTGGATGGTTTAAAGGGTCCAAGTTAGGTTTGTTGCAATATAAAATGTTTCTTGCAAAGTAAAATTCAAAGTGGGGGACCTGTACCCTTTTTGAACTACGTCGATAGCAAGCCAAGGTCACCCTCCTGGCTGAGCTGCACGTGCAGAGTTGTTGTTTTGCTTATTAATACCTATTGCTGTTTCGACGTTCTCGTAAGGTCCCTATTGCTTGCTACGTCATGCAGTTCGCTTTCTGGGGTTTCACTCTAATTGGCAGCTGGCATTACTTGGGAAGTATTGAGTGCGAATGGGGGTTTAAACAAAGGAAGAATAAGATTGGTGAAACAACTCAAGGAAAATACGCTTAGGTGAGCAAAACGACCTTACTTGGCTTGAATTTTCTTTTCTTTTCCTTTGGCTTCGACCGTAATTCTTCCTTTTTTGCAAATGCAGAATCATCAAGACAACTCAACCTCGTTCCAGCGATCCTGTGGCCCGAAGTTGACATCTCTTGAGATTCCACATTACTTGCTCCTTCAGGTACTGGTGCAGTGGTAACCGATGATCGTTGAGAACTCAATCCACTCGGTGCAGTCACCCCTGATTGTGTTCTGTCATTCTTAGCAGGTAACGCCACCACTTTTACATCATCATTACCTGCTCTGTCAGTGGTGTCTGATGATGCTTGAATGCTTAATCCTTCTGGTTGCGCCCTAGTTGGTCCCTTGTCTTTGTCACTCTTACAAGGCAACTTCACTGATTTTGGATCGTTACTACTTGCTCCTACAATAAGAGCCTGAGAGGGCAATTGTGATTGAACACTTCCACTTGGAGGAAACCTCCTTGACTGAATTGTCTCCTTCTGGTTGGTTAAGGGTAATGATGCCGCTTTAGTTTCAATACTTCTTGCTCCTCCAGACACCACCCCACTGGGGAGGGAAGACGGTTGACCACTTAATCCATCTGGTGGATCAACTAAGCTTGATGGAGTGGTATCTTTGTGGTTGTGAGATGGAGGTAAGAAGGTGGTTGCTTCTTTCGTCGTGGCCTCTTCGCTGATGAATGTGGATGGTCGACTTATTCCATCTTGTGGAACCATAATCTGTGCTTTGTCAGAGGGTATCTTCGTCAGTTTTATACCTGTATTGATTGCTCCTTCACTGCTAATCTCCGTCAAGGGCGTCACTGGTTGACAGCCTAATCCATCTGGAGGGATCAGTTTAGAGGATGTATTGTCTACATCTTTTGATTTCAATGAATGGTCCCCATTGACTACACATTCTGAGAAAAAAGACGTACAATATCGGCAATGAATCTTAAAGCACACTATCCGTCTCAATAACAGCATTCTTTAACAAAGTTTAGACTCATTATTCATCCTCACAATATACTGTAAGTATTAAACACCCCATTTGTAAAGGCAGCAAAGACCTGTATCAATAATTGAACCCACATGGTTAGGACAGAATGTAGAAACTGAGGTATCATTGGGCCCTTAGTAAAATAGAGAAGCGAAAACTTTTAAACTTGGCAAAATCAATAACCATGCAAAGGGAAAAATATACAAATAGGTTCGCTGTGCTTCTTTTTCACCTTGCGTGCCTGTTATCCTGAGTGTTCAACCTATTTGTTTGTCTGAGACTTAATCTTTTACTAAAATAGTTCTTAAATTGCTTGACGATCATCAGAGTTTAATACGCAACCTATGCAGTTGCGAAACGAAAGCCTGAAAAAATTTAGACTTGGCAGGATTCAAACCCTATCCTTTGCAATGCTGGTGCCGCGTTCTAATCATCTGAGCAAGTAAGCCAACTGGCAGCTGGTCCAATTTTATGACCAGCTCCCAGTTGGCTTGCTAGCTCAATAGACCCTTTCACGGTTTTTTCAACTTTTGACATGGAGCAGTTAAGGAAAATCCGTCGACACCACTGGAAAGAGCGCCTTAAAATTAGTAAAATTGCCAAGTTTGAAAGTGATACGTCTTAACCCTTTAAGCCCCAATATCCACAAGCAAATTCTCCAAACTGATCTCTATACATTTTTTTAAAGAATAAGTTGAGAGAATTTGAGAAAAGATCAAAGCATTTTCTCTTTGATGATCTTTAATTAATTCTCATAACCTAATCTCTTGACATTGTGCGGATATCGTTAGGAGAAAATTGATGTTGGTCACTATAGTGACTTAACGGATTAAGCGAGCGAAGATATAGCTACGCATTAGGTTTCAACAAATGACTTTCAAACTTGCAATTGGCAATCGTACTAATTTAAAGGCGCTCTTTCCAGCAGTGCTGACGGATTTTCCCTAACTTGTCCATGTCAAAAGTTGAAAAAAACCGTGGAAGGGTATATTGCCTTGAGCGCCGCAACTGCAGAGTTGGTCCAGATGCAGAGACGTTGTTATTTATCATAAATAATACAATTTGTATTATCCCAATTTTTGCTTCTTAAAACATGTTCTTCCTGTAGCCAATATGAGTCAATAACACCAATAACAACAGGTGGTCACCACGCTCAAAAGGGTAAATAAATGACCATTTTGGGTGAAGGGACTTAGGCGAACTTCTAACACTAACACCTTTTTAGACCTGAAGAGTTGTCATGCTCACTATAAGTAACTTTTAGACTACAAAAGCAGCTGGCAAACAATTGCTACCTTCCATGTAACAATGTTATGCGCGGTGACATATAACATCTCATGTCACAAAGAAACTGTTATTAATGAGACCAGCGGCTATGAAACAATAGCATCCGGTGCATGGTGTTTTTTCGCAAAAAGAAACATTTAATTGCTACCTGCGTCACTTTCTGCTGCTGCAGCCACTTTATCATCAAGAGTGTGTTTGACTACACGTGGTAGAGCAGTGCCGCCTGGATCGCTTTTGATAACACCACTACCTGCAGTGATGTGACACCCGGCCACTAAATCTGGCTTCACTTGAGGATAAATGCCACCCGAGGCCCCAGCTGGCAATTCTGATCCAGTTTCACCTATGAAAGTACACACAACTCCTTTTTAAAAAAAATATTATCTTTTTGAAAGTAATAATCCTTCCTTTTCTCGGTTTAAACCTGTACCTTGTTCTACAGCCCAAGAGTTTCCTTCTTCTGCTAAGTCTTCTTCAGTCTTACCTTTACTTGGATGTAAATTTGTGTCCTTTTCTGCTACTGCAGCCACTTTATTATCAAGATTGTGTTTGATTTCTCCTGGTTGAGTGTTGCCAACTGGATTGCTTTTGTCATCACCCCCACTTACACTACTGTGGCTCCCTGCCAGTGAATTTGAATCCACTGGAGGACAAATACCACCTGCAGCCCCCACTGGCAATTCTGATTCAGTTTCACCTATAAAGGTACACAAAACTCCTTTTTAACAACTAATTACCTTTTTTAAAGTAATTATACTTTTTTCTGTTTAAAACTGTACCTTGTTCAACAGCCTGAGAGCAGTTTCCTTCTTGTGGCAAGCCTTCATTACTACTTCTTCCATTCACGTGAACTTCACTTGAATCTGTATCTGTGTCACCTTCTGCTGCTGCAGCCACTTTATCATCAAGAGTGCATTTGATTTCTCCCGGTTGAGCAGTGCCACCTGGATTGCTTTTGTCATCACTACCACCACTTGCACTAATGTGACTCCCTGCTGGTATATGTGACTCCACTGGAGGATAAATACCACCTGCATCATCAGTCTCCACTGTCAATTCTGATCCAGTTTCACCTATATTAAAGTACACACAACTCCTTTTAAAACAAATAATTATATTTTCTAAAAGTAATAATACTTTTAAAAAACTGTACCTTGTTCTACAGCCTGCAAGTTTTCTCCTTGTAGAAGGTGCCCATTACTGCTTCTTTCATTCACATAAACTTCACATGAATCTGTATTTGTGTCCTTTTCTGCTGCTGCAGCCATTTTATAATCAAGAGTGTATTTGATTTCTCCCAGTTGAGCAGTGCCACCTGGATTGCTTTTGTCATCACTACCACCACTTGCACTAATGTGACTCCCTGCCAGTATGTGTGACTCCACTGGAGTGTAAATACCACCCACAGCCCCCACTGGCAATTCCGATTCAATTTTACCTATGAAAGTACATACAACTCCATTTTAAATTTATTTAATTATTTATGAGAAAAAATAAACTTAAAATTTGATGTTTAAACATCATTATCAACAATGAGAAACATTATGATGTTCCAAACATTGAAATGTCAAGTAAATGTTTAATAAGCAACTGATCAACTATCAGATCTCTAATTACTGATGACCAAGAAAACACTGATAAGTATACATGCAGGGTTCATACAAAAAATTGCATTTTCAAGGACTTTTCAAGGACCACAATAGATTTTCAAGGACCACCTACTAGGAATATAATAATTCACAGATTGTACAAAATTGCACATTCCCAGTCCATTCTAATAAGACTTTAAGGCTTGAACTATTTGCTTCACCAACTTCTCTACATTTTTCAGTTCACTTGTCTTAAATTGATGGTTAATTATTACATAAAACATAGAGCACTTTATGTAAATAACCTTTAAATTTTCTGATCAGCTATGATTTACATTGTCTTGGACAACCAAAAAACATCAAAAAACTCTTTCCAGGCCACTACATTTAAAGTTGAACAAAATTCAAGGACTCTTCAAGGACTTGCACAGAAATTTAAGGACTTTTCAAGGAAAAATGGAATTCAAGGACTTTTCTAGGACTTCCCATAAAATTCAAGGACTTTTCAAGACTGTGCAAACCCTGACATGCATTAGAAACTGTTGGACAGGATCTAGCTGGATTGATTATATCAATAATTGCTTGTGCAATGTGAATTTTAAAATTATTATCATACATTTTATCTGTGAAAGGTTTGAACCCGGGAGTCATTTCAAAAGGTTGAGTTTGATCGTCCAGGTGAACGTAGTCCTGAATAGGACTGTTGTTGTTGACAGTGACTGACGTTTCGACAACCTGTGCGGTAGTCATCTTCAGAGTCAAAGTGAGTTGAGAACAACTGAAGAACTGACAATTTGACTAACAATAGACGACTGTTTAACTGTGACAATAGACGGATCGAAATGCACCAATCACTGATTACGAGTCTTCATAGCCAATAACATCATGGCTTAACTGACAGACGACCAATAACATCGCGACATAATTGACCAATCAGATCAATAACCAGAGTATAATACCATCAACTGACGTGATACAACTCACTTTGACTCTGAAGATGACTACCGCACAGGTTGTCAAAACGTCAGTCACTGTCAACAACAACAGTCCTATTCAGGACTACGTTCACCCGGACGATCAAACTCAACCTTTTGATACATTTTATCCTTAATTATTCATGGGCAGAGTGAAAAAAGGTAATTTCAACTGCTGTCCAACAAATGTATAGCCACCACAGCAGGGGCTGTTAGATTTTGCTGTCAAGCAAGTTAATAAATGTGTTTACTGTACAGATTTGGTAGTGACAACTTTCAAGTTCCCACCTAGACATGCTCAGCAAGTTAAAACTGACTGCTTTCATCAGGACTCAGGTTCTAATGATGTCACTTCATCAATTTAAGGCTTAAATTCAACTGATCAACTTTATATATAGATAACAAATGCCTGGGCAAAGTGCTTATAACCTTTCCTTTTGGTAGTTCACTTAGACCCATTCCAAATTTGCAAGAGCTAAGCAGAGCTTATCAAAGTTGTCATATTTTTACAGTTTAAAGTTTTATGCCCCACCAATATGTTGTTTATATTTGCCAATTGAAAGTAAAGTTCTTGTAAATTGTGTTGTTGACCAGAAAACATCCATACCCTCTCCATGGAGGGCACTTTTCTTTGAGGGAGGTGGGGGTGCTTGTCATACCCCTCTTCCCTACCCTCTGGAATTTCCATGATTTTCCCACTAGGTTTGGGTACCCCCTGGAAAGAATATTTCAATAAAAATGATAAATGGTTGCATTATACGTAACTGCAGGTATGAAACAATTACTGCAGTTCAGGATGAATACAGTGTTTGACACCAACATTAATGTCTGACCTCTTCAGTTTTGCCTTGTCATTTATGCCTACCAATTGGAAGATTTGGAAAAGCCATCCTTTCATATAGTGTAGAGGTCTTTCTTTGCTAGTACACTGTGCCACTAATTAAGCCACTGAAAAACATGCAGAGGCTTTATATGTTTAACAATACACAAATGATGTTATCTGTAAAAGAACTAGTTGCCTTCAAACTTAACAGTGAGTGATCTTTTTGCCTTGGAACTTGTCTTCCTCAAGCCAGCTCATTGATCCTTCCTTTTGCATGCATACATTAGATTCAGAACTTTAATTACTCCCTTCCTGTTCAAACTTGTTAGAAGAGGCTAATCTTCCCCCAGATCCCGAGAAAAAGAGACCTTGAAAAGCCACCCCATCCCCCTTGGAAATTGACTCCTCTTGTACCCCCACTCCCCTCATAACCTCCGTTTCATTTCTTGAGGGGGTGGATAACGGAACTGCACATTTATTTGAAATGTGCTCTAGCAGACTTGACTGTGCCTTCTGTCAAAATAATTTTGTCTGGGGTGAAGTATTGCTAACAAAAGATATTTCTTGTTTATTAAATGCAGTGCTGCTAGTCCTTTGTAATATATGTTATATTTTTTTGGTTGGAATTTTATTTTGGTGTGTTTGAAATTACTTATTACTATACATTACAGTAACCACACCACAAAACAAAGGGAAAATAAAAATCTATATTAAACCACAACATACATAAAACACCTCTTCGCGAAAAAGAAAAAAAAATACACCATTTAAATGAGATGTTTGAGCATGATGGTCCCAAGTAGGGAGCTAGTCTGAGCTGGTAGCATGTAGCTCGTGCTAGAACTCATTAACCAACTTTTCCAGGAAATAAAAAAATATTGGACATCAATAAGAAACTACCTAGAACTTATGAAAATACAGTTTGCATCACACCAAAAAATACCTACAGATGATATAGACACATGTAAATAACTATTACTTTAAATGTGACCTTACCTACATCCTTGGGAGGTGAATAATCTGCCAGATGCCGGCGGGAATCAGTGAACCTATCAGAATTTTCACTTGGAAAAGGGCCTGAAAAACCACAGTCACAAGTTATATTTAACAGGGATATATTATTGCTTCAAAACAAGGACTATTTGACATGTTATTTTAAAACCTGTGTGAAGCAAATGAGACTATAAATAGGGAAAATTCTAGTGTATGTGTACCTATACCTTGATTGTGAACTAATTCTAGAACGTACTTGTTGCTAAAACAAATTTACCATGTGAAGCAGATAAATTCCAATTTCACACAGTCTCTGCTTATGAAATCCATAGGATTATAATGTCTTTTTCATCCAATAAGGCACCTGGCCATGACAAGATAACTATGTCAGTGATTAAGGATTCACTTCCTTGCATTTTGCCTGTACTTACAGACATCGTGAACTGGTTCCTGTTGTCATCAGTTTTTCCATCCCATTTGAACATTTCAGAGGTCACCCCGTTACTTAAGGAAGGAGATCATCAGATTGCAAACAATAACCACCCAGTATCGCTACTCCCAGTTGCATCAAAGGTTTGCAAACGAGTAGCTCTGAATCAACTGACTACGTACATGACCAAGAGAGGCAGTGACCGAGCATCAGAGTGGCAACAAAAAGCTGCATTCATGTGAAACACTCAATGTTATGATCACGAATAAGGCACTTGAGGTGATGGATGCGAAAAAACCTTACACTTGTAGTCCTCCTAGACTTGTCAAAGGCGTTTGACAGTCTAGACCATAGCAGACTTCTGGCAAAAAAAAAGACACTGGGGGTTGGTTGTACCACTCTGGAATGGTTTGGAAGCTATTTGTCGGGACATCAACAATACATCAGGATCGGTACTGAGGCCTCAAGTCTGGGTGCTATTTCTCATGGTGTACCAAAGGGTTCCATCCTAGGTCCGGCCCTATTTACCATCTACATGAACGACCTTCCCAACATCCTGAAATTTGGTTCTCTGGAATCAGACTTTGACGATTCAAGACTCTATTTGTCATTTTCTCTCAAAGATACTTGCAGTGTGGTCCAGCAAATTAAATATGATAATTTATCGAAGATTGCTTATTGGTGCTGCTATAATAGTCTTTTGATCAACCCAGACAAGACCAAGTTGGCAGGGAACCTGACAAATGCTACACTGACTACCTGCAGACTTTCACGTCTCTCTACTTGGAAAGGAAGTTACTACAGCCTCCTCTGTACAAGACCTGGGACTTCAAGTAGACTCCACCCTTAGCTTTGATGAACATATTACAAACACTGTCTCATCATGTTTAGGTAGTTTAGGTCAGATAAATAGGGTGAAACAACCTTCTCAGCACCAGGACATTGGGGAATGTTATAAATAATGTGCTGGTATTTAGCAAATTATACTATTGTTCTCCAGTATGGTCTAGCACTAAGAAAAATATCTCAAAGCTGCAAAAAATCTAGAATTTTGCTGTAAGAATAATCACTAATACATGTAAATTTGATCATATAACACCGGTTCTTCAGGAGTTATGCTGGCTCCCTGTGAGTTATGATTTGATGTGTACGGTAGGCATTCTCAGGTTTAAGTGTGTGAAAGGGCTAGCACCTTAAGTTACTTGAGTGATTGTTGTGTGACAAGATCTACTGTTCATGATCGCAACACAAGAAATAAGGACTATCTTAATATTCCAGCTTATGAATCAGCTGCAGGTCAACAAACTTTTCTATATAGAGCAATATCAACTCTGGAACTCATTGCCACGTGCAATCACTACTGCAGACAGCCTGCATACTTTCAAGAAGAAACTTAGAGAATTCCTTTTTGCATCATTTCTTGTCAGCGAGGAGAGAAACCCATTGATGTTTTTATCTACTATTACAATTTTAACGTTTAGATATTTTATTCAATATTTCAAACTTACCTTATGAGTCTATATGCTTATGTATGTTGGGTCTGAAAAACCCTGATTGGGAGATTCAATGAAGTTTTACTTTACTTTACAATACTGTTGTATGTTTGGTTCTGCATTAATGTATCACTTACTGGTAAATGTATGCTGGTAACTGTATAATGATAATCCACTTTAAAAATGAATTATTGTATCTTTAGAAGCCTATTTCTGAAAACACACCTGCTACCCCACACACAATCTGCTTGGCACGTGAAATTGTTAGAGGGTAGCAACAACAGTGGGAATTAGTCAAGTAATGAAGGACCATATAAAAACAGTCCCCTTCCAGTGTCAGCCCATGTAAGGAACATGTAGACCACACCAGTGAGAATGATGTTTGCATCCACCTCCCCATTATCAGACTGTCATAATTAAACCTGTACCTCGGCTTTTGTTGTTCTGCACGTCTTCCTCTCCATAACTTTCTACATTCTGCTGCTGAAGAGCCATTTCACCTGCGCCTGAATTTTCCGACCCATTTACTGCCGATGATGACATGAATGAAGGCTGACTTAAATAATCCTCAAGACAGAGTGCTCTTGACCGCAGCCCAGCTAGCTGACCTTGATAGGACGTATGACTAACACTCCCTGAAGCACACCCCTGTGATTCTTGTCCAGTATGAGTCATTGTCTCACCTAAGAAAAAAAAGCATGATTAACATATGAAATTGAGTAATTTTTAATTTTCAGTCGACAAAAACCTTGTACCAGAATAATTTAATTTTCAAGGGCTGGAGATGTAATTAGCTGTAATAACACCAAAGAAAATTTCTTATGAGAGCCCGAGAAAATAAATGTCAAATTTCACAAAATGACATCTTACACATAAAATTTTCAGAATTGTACCTGTGTTTTCACAATTCTTGTGAAATTTGACATTTATTTTTCCGGGCTCCCATGTGAAGTAGTCATTGGTGTAATTACAGATAACAAATCTCATTATCAAAACTTGCATGCGCATGTTCAAGGCTCAGAATTTTTCTTTTGTACGTTCAACTTTGTAGACATTGCATAATTGACCAAGTGTGAGGTCAAGATGGATGGATATTGGCCGATTTTTTTGACCTGAACTTCATGTTGGTCAAAAAAGAATGAGACCAACATACAGCCATTAAACCGAACAAGCTTGGTCATTTAAGGTTCAAGTTTATTAAAAACACTTTTGATACCAGCTGTAGGCTACTTTGCCGGCAAGGATCAATAAATAATTATTATTGATCCTTGCCGGCAAAGTAGCCTACAGCTAATCGAGGAGGGATTAGGAAAAGTTAAAAAAAGTTAGGGTTGAAACATAAGGGATTTAATATATCGCCAAAAAGAGAACTTTTTCTTGCCGGACCAACACGGGAAATCCTGGCCCATCTTGCCCACTCAGATATCCAATCAGAATGCAAGATTCGCTTCATCTTGCCTACTGACAGATTCAGTTATGATAAACCCTGCGCCGCGCTAGACTGGATTCTAGTTTAACATGAAACTAGCACAAAACTCAAGAAACCTCTAAATGGTAAACGAATTTCCATGCGGAACATCCCAACCGGGAAAACGGGACTACCTTTTCAGAATTTCCGTTTGTCCTGGGAATTTTCCAGTGAAACGAACCAAAAAAACGTTTACCATTGGCATCCCAACAGGAATTTCGGGGAATTTTTGGTAAATGGTAAACAACCACAGTGAAGAGATAACCCAAATTTCTTGGATGGGTACATTACCACATTTTCTTAGGTGTGGGGCTTTTTTTTAACACTCGCCCGCGTGTGGAGCACCGCTAATTTACAGGTAAGCTAGGATTGCAACCCTCCCGTTTTAGGCAAATATTTCTGGCCCCCCGTTTTCATTTAATATTCTCCCAGTTTGAGAAACTCTTCCATTTCTTTCTTTAACCAGTCTTTTAGCATGCTTGTTTGCTGTTTCTCTGTGGTCTCTCAGACATTTTTACCCTTTTGGCATCCGACCATGAGCCTGTGATAATTTTGGGCACAGTATTTCCTTTGACTATGATCTCAAAATGCAGGAAATGGCAACAGGGGTCTTTTTTGCATGAGCATGCGCGACCGCTGACTTGTCAAAGAGCACTAACAAAGAGCATGCGACCAGTGACAGCGACCGTGCTGCATAGTCATAGGAACCAAATTGTTCACTTTGAACGCTTGCTTGAGATTGAAATGGTAGCAGGAACTTAGGAAAGAACTTCGTTGTACAAAATAAGTAAAGATCTGTTGATTTAAAGTGGAGACTGATGCGCTGAACGAGGTGAAAGAGCAAGTTTCTCAAGGATGTCTGACACGAACATGGCTGCTTGTTGTTGTTTGGCGCTCGACTCGTGTCTTGATTCCCCTTTAAGAACCGCAAAGTTTGGCATAGAATGCATTGCTGATGCGTAGCTACTGAGCAAAATGTTCTTTATTTAATGTTTGTCTATAAATCGGATGTAAATCAGTTTCTCGATGCCGTAGAGGATTTCTGACAATTATTTGTTAATAGCTGATTTAGCCATATTTCGGGAGTGGATTAATAACGATCAGCGGGCGACTACCACGCCGTTTTCAGTTGGAATAGAAAGTTTTTGCCTTAAGTATTTTAGTGATACAAAGTTTGTTTATAGGAAAATTGTAGAACTTCTTGTTTTTGCGTGGACTAATATTGTAACGCATCTTTTGCAGGAATTTGCTTTTAGCCAGAACTTAAATGTTCTAATGATTTTTAACTTTTGGTCGGCATCACATGTTTACTGTACTTCTTGGGAAACCTAACCGTATGTTTCATCAAAATCGGTCACAAGATTGGACTTTAATTTCGGTCCTATTGAATGCAGTTTTGACTGTGTCTCATTGATATTCATTTTTTTTATTGTTCGAGACATACAGAGTGACTACCACCAACATCTCACCAGGTGACTAATCTACGTCTCGTGTGCTCTTAATTTTGTAGCTTTAAAGTGCTGGGAAAATTGTAGAACATATATTAATTCACTGCTGAACTGAACATCGGCTTTCGCGCACTCCGAACCCACTCGCTGAAATTTGCTTTGTTTTTTTTCTAATATTTCTCTTCCTTTCCGATTTCAAAACAAAGAAAATTGAAAGTGTTTACTTGCATCAACAAACTGTTTCTGCACTTTGTTTAGACTTTGATGAGGTCAGCGCAATCCTCCAGGCACTACATACACGCGCGCTGTTGTCCAGGTCAAGTGGGGAGATGAAATTTGATAGTAGCTCGTGTATGTTTAAGCTTGTCTACTTCGCTTTTGTTAAGACCATGTTAGAGTTTTTTTTGCAAACTACACATTTTGTTAAATCACGAGCACATTCGCCAAGACCAACGAGCAAAATAATCGCTATGATAGCTTTGAGACGCGCCATTTTGATGAAGGCAAACCCTGTGGTGAGCCGCCCCATGCACATCGCTTGTTCAGCGGTCGCGCATGCTCATGCAAAAAAGACCCCTGTTGGAAATGGCATCTTATAGGCACATATCTTAAATTTTTCATCTTATAGGCACATATCTTAAATTTTTCCCGGGGGAGCATGCCTTAGGAACCCCCTAGAAGCCTGCACCTTTGGCGCTAGTGAGAGCGGTGTATAAGACCTCCCTTTTTTAGTTCACGGGGTTGAAAATCTCTTACAAGTTTACATTGAGTTGCAATTTTACGTTTAAATGATACAGATCAATATAATTTTGAATTACAAAGTGACAGACGACAAATCGTAGTCTTGTGCATTTTTCATTAACTAATCAATTATAATAGTACTTTTATTGTTACAAAGTTTTTCGGTCTGCACGTAAACTACATGATTCATTTCATTTACCATGGTATTCAAACGAACGGAAAAAAGAATTATCCGAGCTATGTGGCACAGAGCGTTTAAATAATACTGTATTTATAAGTCAGTAAATACCTGTTTCTTGAAAGTTGCTTCCAAACAACAGTGGCACAGGGTGTTTATTGTAAAAATCCAAAAATCCTGCAAGCTGGCAGTCTTTAGTCGCTATTATTGCCCCTAGTGGTACGTCTCCTTTCGCAAATTCATCTTCTTTACGAAAACGCTTTCTACTAGGGCTGGTACTAACATTTACGTTGCCGAACTGTGAGTCATCGCCAGCAGCAAAGACGTGGTCGCAGTGAAAAAGATCGTAGATTCGCGTGGAGAACGCGACAGGCCTTTCTTGTTCTGTTGTTTCCGCAACCGTTTCTTTGCTAAAAACCAGGCACTGAAGTTGATCCCATAACATTGACGATTCGCTTTCTTCCGAGAAGTTGTATACCTCCAAGCATCTGGAACGCAAAAAGCTGCTTCCTTTCTCATTTGTGAGAGCGACGTAGGTCACGCCTTTTAGATCGTAGACGTCCTTTTCGAAAGAACTACACAACTCACTCAAATCTCTGCGTTCGAGCACTTTGCCATCCTCCATTGACAGAAATTCGGCGACAACTTTAACGGAAATCTTCTTTCTATCTTTTCTTGGCTTCTTGATCGCCATAAGATGGTCTTTTGTGAGAACCGCTCGTTTATTTGCAACTAGGAAGAACTTTGAATTTATACTTCTAGTAGGCTTTCCAAGCGGGCGAAGAAACTCANTTTAGATCGTAGACGTCCTTTTCGAAAGAACTACACAACTCACTCAAATCTCTGCGTTCGAGCACTTTGCCATCCTCCATTGACAGAAATTCGGCGACAACTTTAACGGAAATCTTCTTTCTATCTTTTCTTGGCTTCTTGATCGCCATAAGATGGTCTTTTGTGAGAACCGCTCGTTTATTTGCAACTAGGAAGAACTTTGAATTTATACTTCTAGTAGGCTTTCCAAGCGGGCGAAGAAACTCAACACTTTCAAACTTCGCCAGGCAGCCAAGACCGAGAAAATGTCTTCTTAGCAATTTTTTTCCCTGGCGTGTCTCGTCCACAAGGCAGCAGATCGCCAGCTCGGCTTGTCCGGACCAGCCTTTTGCTTCCGCCATGTCGAAGATCAAGCAAAAAGGGAAGAAGCATTATGGGGGTGTTTATTTTAAGAACCCTGTCTGGATACAAAGATTTCCGGGAAATTCCCGCCAGATTTATTTTTAGAAAGAAAGATCATCAGCCCAGTCTCATCACCAGGGCCCAGTTGTTCGAAGGCCGATTAGCGCTTAACCTAGGGTTAAATTTAACCCCGGTTTCTCTTTGTTGTGTTCAAAAGCATTTTCTCGGATAATTTTCTCTGTTATATTTAGTGCTTTCAATCATCAACTTGTAGACAAAAAAAATTGAAACTGAAATTCTTTTTAAGCTTTCAACTAGAACTAACCCAGAGGCCAGTTCGCGTTATCCAAATGAGCTTCATGCGATCGAGAAACTACACTAATGCAAGAGCCATAATAGGACCCGTCCTATTATGGCTCTTGACCAATGCTAATATTTAACAATTACTCCCCGAACCCGAATGGGCTCTGAGTCAATAGCCCATGGGGCCGGAGGCCGAATGGGCTATTGACTCAGAGGCCATGATCTTTACACGATAGGTGGGGTGACCCGCCGCATGTTACCTCACCTATCTGGGGTCTGTCTGGGGTACCCATAGCCTGCGTGGCAAGCGTTTCCTCGCGAGGTTCGTCTAGAAAGCTGGGACAAGAGCGAAGAAAAAATGAATGACGGGGGAGGGGGAGGGGAATTAAGGAACCGCTTGCCCGCAAACCCAACGATTTTGAAAAACTGCGTTCGCCCACGAACGCAGCTTCTGATTGGCGCGGTGCGGGTAGTGTTGATTACTTTGCATTCTAAACATCACTCAAACCAGGCATGCTTTGTTTTCGTGCGTCACAGATCTGGTGTCATCTGATTTGTGGTCGCAGATTACAAATGCTTTGGACTGATATTTATTGGAATTGTGTTTGTGCGAAGTTTATGAGATCAGAGTCTTCAAAGTATAATTGGAGATCGAGCAGTGGAGACGAGGGAAGGCCAGTTTATTGAGAATGACGGCGTGCGGATCTGACTGGAAAAAATGGACTGTTTGTTGGAGATAACATCAACATGAATCAGAACATCGGTACTCGACACTAGCTGAAGCCGCCATGGACAAGCGATTTGTCAGCTTTTTGAAATGAAAAGATTCTTTTTGTTTATTGGAAATTTAGCTGCATCTAATGTAGAGAACGTTTCGACACAGGCTGAAGAGCAGCCGCTCTGCAAAACGTATACCCGGCGGAGTGAATTGTTGCGGACAGATCATTTTTGACGTGTCGATATAAGGTTTCAGACGAGATAAAGCCACACAATAAAAAACAAGAAATTCCGCAGCAATCGCTCATGGTTTTAACTTTCTTTTATCGTAAATCTTTTTATTACAGTTCTTGCAATCGCCTGCAACGTGTTCTATTAGAGAACAAAGTAATTTTACAAATCTGGTAATCCAGGGGTAATCTGTTCGTTATGTTTCTCACAAGCTGTCAGTTTACAAACCGTGAAATATCAAGGGGCGTTTTCCAGAATCGTGGGGTTTGCGGGCAAGCGTTTCCTCTTCTCCCCTCCCCCTCCCCCTTCAACCTTTTTTTTGCTTCCGTAACTTTCGCGCAATAACTCGATTGGAAACGCTTGCTACGCAGGCTAGGGTACCCACCTCCAGATAAACAGGCCCTTAGACCTATAGCTGTTGTTGTCAATGCTGTCACCGTTTAGCATAAGGCCCGGTTCAGACGCCGAAGATTTTAATGAGCTGAACTTAATTCGAATTAAATTATTTAGACTGCCGAACTAAATTCAACGGAGAAAAATGCTCATTTCAATCAAACTACTTACAAATACGTTATAATAATTTATGCATTAGGTTGGGGACATGAAAATTTCGGCGTCTGAATCAAAGCCGTTCCAAAGTCGCTCTAAAGGCGAAATTCCCGGCCGGGCCAGGCGGAAAGAACGGCTGAGCCGTTCCGAATTGAAACAGGCGTTCCTAATTGGTTCAGACGCCGAACTTTTCATGTACTTAATTCAATGTATTAGGTTCGGCTCATGAAAAGTTCGGCTTCTGAACCGGGCCTAACCGACGATTATATTTTTGTGTGAGCAAATTAAATTATAAACATAGTAACCAGAACTTCGCTTTTAGCCCTAGCTAATCCATAAACAATCGAACCCCGCTTTAAGCTAATATCCTTTTTTATGTCTTAAGTATTTTGTACTAATAAAAGATGTCTTTTTGAATGACCCGCTTAACACGGACAGCCCCGTTAATACGGACACTTTCTATTGCCTCTTAAGTGTCCGTATCAGTGGGGTTAACGTTCCCTACTCTTTATGTGGTTTGTATGTAAAAATAAAAACAACAACAACAACAACCTAATAGCAACAACTACACACAAAGAAAAAGACGTGTTTTTGACTTTTACAAAATATGTATAGATACAATGTAGATAAAAACGAATATACAATGTATAGATTTGCTTCATTGATCTCAAGAGTGCCCTAAGCATAAATATACGAAGTTGAAAACAAAGGTGAACACAGTAAGTTGTTAAGCTAGTTTCACCCGCGTGTTCAGATTGTAGTGAGCGGGCCAAAAATACAGGACAAAAAAGTGGGAGTCTGAGGAGAGCACCAGATATCTGCGAAAGCGTTATAACAGATTCCACGTATCTTGCTAAAATCTGTAAGAATGAAAACAAATTTGCAAACATATCTGTGAATTTCTATTTGCAAATAAAAATATTGAAATGTTAGTATTACAATGCCGCGTTATCAAGAGAGGATCCTCTCTTGACATTAGCAAACATTCGCTGGAAGAGTTATAGGAACTGTTGTCTTGCTGTTGATATCATTCGCGCTCTTTAAATCAGATCCTGAAAGCTTTGATTTTACACTGGTAACCACCGCATTTTCCAACTCATTTTGCTTTTTGCCTTCAGCTAAGTCTTTCAGTTGCCATGGAAACAGCTGACACCTTGTTAACACCTGAGAAACTTTCACCATCTCACTTCTCGACATGGGAAAAAAAGGCGATCGGAAATGTGGCAGAGCGAATGGAAAAATATCTTGTTTGCGTTGAAGAAAACCCACGTTCACCTTATCTTCACCAGGTGAAATTGAACGGTTCAGTCTCTCTCCTTCAATTACGTGAAAAGGCTCCATGACCGGCCCGAGGTCGTAACACGAGATTGATTTTCGCCTAAGAAGTTTTTTCAAGAGTTGTTCCTTTTTCACTGTTATTACTTTTTTCGGAACTATCCATGCGTTTTCTGGTTCTTGCAGTGGCCAATCTTGTCTTTTTGTTCCCGGACACAGTATTTTATAACTTGCCGTCAAGCAAAGTGATTCTTCTTTTGTTTGGCATTCACTGGCTCTTTTTATCTCACTGACTTCGCTCAGAATCTTACTGAGGTTAAAACAGTCGCTTCTGGGGCGTTGTTGCTTGGAATAAAATCGATGGACATTGGCCTCTTGCCAACTGAAGTGCCCCCGATCTATTGCAAGTTTTTTCTTTTCTTTCTTCACTCCTATCCAAGGACTAAAACAGGGTCCTGATAACACTGGTAAAATACCTTTTTCACAACATTCAAAGCAATACATGTCAAACTGCTTCTCCGCACATCCAAAAATGTGCTTTGGAGGTTCTATAGCAAGTGTTTTTACTCTCTCAAAGCTATTTCCATGAAGAGAAAAGTCTAATTTCTGTGATGTACTGCTGGAGTCTTGCCCCTCAAAATGTTCTCTTCTCGAAACACACTGGGCTTTCATTTTCCTGGTTCCAGCTTTCGAATTGTTTCGGGAACGGCTTTTATTTACTACATCGCGATGAGGTTTTTGTTTAGCTGACTGAGTCGAGTGAATATCAGGTAATTTCAGTTCCATTTGCGGAACCTGTTTCCCTGTTTCTTTCCTAACTGTCTTTTTACCTCGTAAAACTACTCCCGCTTTTCTAAGCCGTCGAAGTTGAATTTCCAGTTCTCTGGCGGTTTGAGATCGTTGAAGCGATTCTGTCAGTCTGTTCACATTTCCTTGGTCATCAGACATGACTGACTTTGCATAAATGTTTATTTTGCGATGGAACTAGTAGTACAAGCTTATAAAGCTTATTTTGCTTGTAAACTACTCTGTCTGCATCATTAACAGTTACTCAATGATATTGTATCCACTCGTTAATGACTTCCTTTTATTCATCAACTAACAGCAGAAAAAGAGGCTGCTCTTGCAAACCAGTCCGCATGGAATAGCCAGATCACTCCGCCGACCGTACAACTTTTCCCAAGTTGGTTTTTGTCTATACGATCCATGTTTATCAAAGCATATCAAAATGCATTTTGTGCTGTCCTCCTTCGGAGCTCAACCAATATCAAAACATTTTTTGTCGTTATAATAACGATAGCTTAATTGTTATCGGTTCTTTAAAACTGGATAAGTGTCACGTTTGTTAGTCTGATAGTTTTCTCCTTTAATCAAGCCTTTGAGAATACTTACCTAGAATAGGTTACTCAAGCCCTACTTACAAAAGAAAGAGAAAAAAGAGCTAACAAGTTTATTACAGTGTAACAATAATTGCCACTCTGTATACTTAAGTATAACGGCTCAGTTAAAATCACGAACAGTGTAAAAACAGCGATTTCTAGAGCACAAATAATACAGGATTGGGATGAAAAATATTTAAGACAAGAATTCGGTCATGCTAAATTAAGTTCAGTTAAGCTGGTGGTGATACAGGATACTAACATGGAATTTATTTCCGCAGGCAAATAGCAGAAGTTAATAGTCGAGGAAGGCGAAGATACAGGGGTACAGCAGTCAGTGATAAGTTAGGCCCAGTTCACACGAATTTAGACGCTTCTAAAACTGCATATTTGTTCAGCCGGATTCGTGTGGACGGGGCTTCAAAGCACTCTGGAGAGCGATTTAAAGAATATGCTGTTTCTGTGAGCGCAGATTCACTGGTTTCGTGTGGACTGAAGGCCGCTTCGTGTAGAAAATTATGCGGTTTGTTACTTTCAGTTATATC